TAATTCTCATCAGTACGTGCATAAAACAAATGGACCTGAATTTAAGACAACTTTCCCAGTGTCCTGGTTAATGTATTCAAAATGTGCAGGTTCTCACAATCATAAATAGACTAGTTTTAACACAGAGAAGATACTTAAACCTAGTCATCTCAACAGGAACTTTTTTAGTATATATTGGATCATGTAAAAAGTTACTTACATGGTAATTGATAATAGGATAACAACATGTACTCTCTTTAATCACTAATCAATATGATTATCACTAACGTCTTTCTATTTAATTTTTGCTGCTTGTCGTCATCAAGTTCATTAAATTTTTGGCAGGTGGGAGAGGAAGCAGTGCAGACACTAGTCTGGAGGATGGCAGCTGACTGACAAGACCCAGGAAATGCAAAGAAGTCAAGTGAGTTTACTAAATAATTCGGCACAACAGTGAGACAACAGAAACATCCACTACCGCACTGCCTTTTTTTAGTGACTCTGCCTCCCATGGAAAACTCCATTCTCATCCACAGACAGACAGAGCACATACCAGCACTTGCCACCCACTTCAGGCCCTAGTTTTGAACCCCTGGACAAAGCTATCTTTTAATAATTAAAGGAAGCATTACATTACATAAAAGTATACTTATTATGGTCTGATTAACAAGTATGAATGAAAACTGATGAGGTCTTTCTTTTCTGCCTCCCTGGGACCAACAGCCTTGGACCAGCTGTGTGATCCACAGCTGCTGCTGAATATGTAAACGAGAGAAAGGCGGATTGCCAAGAAGTCTAAGCAAGCCGGGGTTGGCCCGTCCGGTCCAGTGGCCTCAGAAGCAAGGCCTGGGGATCTCTGGAGCACAGCCAGGCACAGGCTGAAATGGGAACTTGGGCAAAAGCACACCTAGGACCTCTTCAGTGTGACAAGATGGCAGGACGTGGACTTGGGTGAGCTGGGTGCCGTGACAGAGAGATAAGGAGCTGGCCCAGGGGCAGCCTCTGAACCAGCGAGTCGGGGAGGAGAGGACACAGGGTGCACAGCTGGCACTTCTCACAGTGGATGCACGCATATTGTGTTGCCTATGGCCTAGTGCTTCTACTGCGGGCCAGCCTACGGCTCCACGAAGGGTGACCTGGTATTACAAATTCCCAGGAGAGCAGTAACAAAGCTAAATTCCTAGAAGAGCAGTGAAAATAATTTAGCACCAGCAGAGAAGGGATACAAGATAAGAAATGATAATTATGTGAACTTTTTTTACTGTTTGAACTGAGCAGAGGACAACCCATAAGATTATGCTGTTTCTCTCAACCTGTAGGGATCACGGTGAGGCCACATGACCCCCTTATGCCTCCACAAAGGGAGCAATTTTTAATTATCCATGAGGATAGAGAATTAGAGAAAAAGAGAAAGCATGGGCATTTGTTTGGAAAGACTAACAGATGTTTAAAAAATTAACATTGTGCCAGGCAAAGCAATGCAGACATATCCAATCCGTATCACCCTCTGTCTGATGGTCATTACAATGGTCAAGCTCACTCCATATCCAGTGACTGGCGGTTACTCGAAGGAATGTAAGTATGGAACGCCATTAAAAATCGTACTGGGAAGGACACTTCATGACATGTTCAACATAGCATAGTATACGGTTCAATTTAGGAGAGCTGGTTAAAAAATAAATTTATCAATAATCTGAAACATGAACCTAAATGCTAATAGCAGCCATCTCTAAATTATGTAATTAGTACTGGTTTTTGTGTCCCCCCCCCATGTCTTTTTGGGGGGGGTGAGGGGGGTTTTTCAAGTTTTAATAACCATGTATTAATTTTCCAATCAGAAAAAAAGCCCTTATTTTATAAGGGTTCAAGTCAAACACTGTGTAACACTATTTTAGGCAGTAAGGCTTTGATGAAATTGACCACCAAACCCCTTCTGATTTCAGGCTGCTGACAAGGAGACGGTTCTAAACTTTTCCCTGGAGTTCACTAACCACCAGGGGATGCTGACCACGAGGGATCCTGAACTACTGGGAGAAGAGTACCCTTGCCAGCTACATTGTTCTTTGACGTGGATCCCAGCTCCTGGGATCCGAGGCATTGTGGATGAGATATGAGACAAATTTACACCGACTCCTGTGGAGGAAAAGGGACAGCATGGCCATTCTCTCAAGGGGAGGGTGCCTTGACCCTTGTCTTGACAAGCTTTTATTGAATTCAATTTGCACAGGAATACAGGGTGTATACATAAAGCTCATCAATCACTGTCAGGCACAAATGATTAAACAATAGATAACATGCAAAGAACTCTGAGGGTTTATTCTGAGTCAGGTTCAGATAGTTAAAGGGTCACAAAACTTTGGGGAACAAACTCACTTCCTGCTTGGTCCCTTATCATTTAAATTGAGGGTATTAGCAAAGTAGGTTTCATAGGATTTTATGCATTCTTTCTTAGGCCTGATTGCCCTAGGGAACCCACCCTTTCCAGCACAGGGCTGTACCCACCTGCAACATTGTTTCAGGCTTAAGGCATTGTCTCAGGTTTAAGTCAGGCAGGGGAAGTAAGGCAGCCAAGGGATTAGGAGACTTCTTGCAGACAGAATGAGGACTCAGGCTATGTCAAAGCTGAGGGGTGAGGGTCCATCACCCCCTTTTTCTATAGCCCCCCAAGTCCTTCCCTGAAGGCTCCTTCATGACCATGCCTGTCTTAGGTCATGCCTCCCTTGAGGAAATTTACCCATCATTGACTAACCAGTTATCTGCCCAGGGCCAAGCAGGGTGAAGAGAAAGGGGGTGGAGGTGGTGCCCCTACAGGGAAGATAAGCTTTGTCTCCTAAGTGGATTATGGTCCCAAGGTCCTTTGCTCAGCCTTAGCCACAGGGGATTACAGCTTCTGAAACCAGGCAGGGCAGTTCCCAACAGTTCTTTCCTCTGGAAAGCTCCAGGAACTCTGGAGAAGGCATTCAGCTGGACAAGCTGGTAGAAAGATTGGTGAACGTCAAATTTTGAGATCTGGTGAGCATCGTTCTGATTTGAGTCTAACGAGGGGTCAATAAACATGTTTATTTTCTGTAAAGAGCAAGGTGATGAATATTTTGGGCTCTGTGGACCATATGAGCTTTGTTGAAACAGACAAGCTCTGCTGATGTAGCATGAAAATCAGGGAGATTATACATAAGAGTGAGTGTGGTTGGGTTGCAATAAAACTGTATTTACAGAAAAAGTAGTTGGCTGACTCCTGATAAACTCTAGGTTTCCTAACTTAGTCCTCAAAGCTGAAGTGACTAGACCAGTCCAGATCAGTACAGGCCAGTACTAGTACAGGCCAAATCAGTCCTTGTAAACAGATGGGTCATTACTGAATGCAGCTCCTCAAACTCTTGCCATTCTGAGGATCAACCAATGGTGACTATTAACATCAAAGGAAGGGAATCCCATTATCAAGCTTATGCTTTAAGAATTATTTATTTATTTTTAGACAGAGAAGAAGGGAGAAAGAGAGAGAAACATGAATGTGTGGTTGCTTTTTTGCACACCCCCTACTGGAAACCTGGCCTACAACCCAGGCATGTGCCCTGACTGGGAATTGAACCAGTGACCCTTTGCTTCCCAGGCTGGTGCTCAATCCAATGAGCCATACCAGCCAGGGCTAAAGCTTATGTTTTTAAGACATTTAATATGTAGGTTCTCCCCCAGCTAAACTATGAGTTCCTGAAGTTTGACAAATGAGTCTATATTAAAATACCATTGGTGCAATTCATAGAGTGACATATAAATAGAAAGTGTTTGATACAGCCTTGCTGAACACTGAATGAATGAAGGCGTGTCCTCCCTCACCAAGCTTCTGTGAAATGTAGTTCTTGGGTGATACCCCTTGGGAACCACTTAAGCTCTGTCCAGGCTGACTCCACTGTGAATGGAACTATCTGTGTCCTGAAGGTTATCCAGACCTTCCAGAAAAAATTGCTCCTGCCCCAAGTATGTTCTAGAAGATGCTTCTAGAATATGTCAACAAAAGAGCCACAGAGTAGGTCTAGCTAAAGCTGTCCCTTCTGGCGGGTTTCTCAGGTCTTCTCAGTGCCTGTTTTTGTGTGAAAGAAGGTGTTCCGGGTGATGATGTAGATGAGTCCTTAGATCTTGCTGCATGGCATTTAGGCTCCTCCACAACCTCCCGCATCCTTTTTTTTGCCTTCCCTTGGCACAGGGAAGGCACCAAAGGGGTCCCTTTGTTAGGAAGTTCTCTCTTGCTCATTTTGACACAGTCACAATCTTCATCATTTTCCACAAATGCAAAACACATACATGAAGCAGGAATTAACAGTGGCAGCCTTGTGGCTCCAAGATCCAGGCTCTTCCCTCAGTGTGTTCTGATAGAAACCCCAGCCCCCAGCCCAGCCTCAGGGTGAGGCTCTTGATGGGTCAAAACACTAACTCCCAAGGAGAAGGGGATCACTGCTCTCACAGAAAGAAGCTGGGGTAAAAGCCAGGTCAGGAGACGGATTTTAGGCAATACTAATAAACAAAGTACCTGGCTGAAATTTAGGAAGTTTCAGAAAGCCCCACAAGGTGAATATTTTGTAGGAGGAGTACACTGATCTGAAGGTGGGATACGTGTGTACTTGTGTATGCATGTGCACAGAGGCACGGTCCGGAAAATGGATGCACGCATATATCTTGACTATTCATTTTTGTAAGTAAATGTTAACAGTCATTGAGAAGATGTGCGATTAATCCAAAGATCACAAACCAAATCTGGGAGTCCTCTCAATAGCTGGTTAAGGTTACACCAAGTCACAGAAATTTCTGCACATAAATGAGAGAACAAAAGCTGGACAACAAAGTATTCCAGAAAGAAATCCCGGGCCACTGGCCCTCAGATCCAAAGGCCCAAACCTCTCTCATGTCCCAGGCACAGATCCTGCTGCTGGCCCTGGACACACGAGGGCTTGAAAAGTACTGTGGCTCTCAGAGCCCAAGATGCAAGAGCACAGCATGGAATGGGGGTGGGGTGGGGGGCTACTTACTCTGTCGTTGCTTCCTTTGTTGTCCTCATACTTGGTTTCTATATGAATGGAGAATTTCGGCAGAAAGGAACACTACGGAAAAAAGAGTAAGGTTTCATTAGCATACCATTTTTTCTCTCTTCACATCTTCAACATAGCCTCTGGATGCTCTCTTGACCACTTGGCCAGGAACACTGTTTGCGATCAGAAATGCTAAGATACTAGGTCAATATCTGAATTCAGACAAGAGCCGCCTTGGGCAACATGAACACAATTGCATCTATGTCAGGCCAGAGAGAATAACCAAGCAATGGAAGGCAAGTCACTGAAGAGAACATTTCCAAAAGGATTATGTTCTGAGTCGTCCCAAAGACTGGAGAAAAGCAAACTCCTCATCAGAGGCAATTCCAGCTCCAGGTGCTTTCCTCTGGGGAGCAGCTACCACTGCTGGAACCTGGGGCCCCGGCCTTACCCTTTTATAAATATTCATATAAAGCTGGAATAGTGGAACCTTAAGGTCATATATGTTTCTGAAGTCAGACACACCTGGCTTTTAGTTTTGGGTCTATCACACGATAGCTATGTGACTTTGGACAAGCTGTTTAACTTCTGCGAACCTCAGCAGTATTAAAACAGGGATACTAATTATTACCTGTAGGAACACTGTGAGTCTTAAATAAAATCATGTGTGTAGAGCACGTGGTGCTGGGCACACAGTCAGCATTCACTGGGAGGCTACAGCTGAGCTTGCCGTAAAAGCAGCCCCTCTTCTTGCCAGCACAGGGGAGAGAAATCCAAATGTATGCCGCCCCAGTTTCCCAGTCTCACTGAGTTACATTCTATGGATTTAGTGGATTTTAAGTGTTAAGGTAGCTTAAAAAGTAGGTTTTCATGAATGTTGATGTAATGTCCCTGCCGCTAGCACTAAGCTGAGCATTAACTTCCTTGGCCAGCAGAAATGGGGTTGAAGACTATTGGGTAAAATGACCCAGGCAACTCCACTGGGAGCTGCAGGTGCTGGAGAAATGCAAGTTGGGCTGATACATGCTCAGTCCCAAGAGCACGTATTCTATGCCGGGCACTGGCCTCACTGCTTGCAGGTTCTCATTCATTTATTCCTTGTAACCATGACATGAACTAGGTACTATTACTATTACCCTGCTCTAAAAATAAGGAAATGGAGGCACAGAGAGGTCACAAAAATGGCTCGCAATCACATAGTCAGTAAATAGTAGAGTCAGGATTGAAAGTCTGGTGGCCAGGTCCCAGTGTCCGCCCCCACTGGTTCTTGAAGTGGGGTCTCTCTGCGCCTTGAGCAGCAGCAGTATGGAACTTGTTAGAAGTGCAAATTCTTGGGCCTGGCCCCTACCCACTGAATGAGAAACTCTGGAGATGGGGCTCAGGCATCTGCATTTGACTAGCCCTTCGGGGACTGCTGATGCTCACTCCAGTGGGAAATCCACTTTGCTACTTCATGCATAGGAAGTCGACCGAGAGAATGCATTATCTGAAATCCTGAAGTCCGCAGTGCCCACCCTCACCATGTGCTGGTGATTCCCTTTCAGCCCAGTTGAGGCCACCAGGCATCTGTACCGTATGGCAGGGGCCTTGGATGTGCCATTGAAACTTCTCATATCACATGCCTGTGTGATTCATCATTCAATTGGCTTAATCCAAGTGAAGCAAGCAAGCTGAACCGTGACTAAGGAGACACGAGAACAGTCAATCCCAGTAATTGCCCTTATGGAGAATGTGGTCCTGTGGTTATTTAGTGACACCTTCTTTGCTGTCTCCTCTCCAACCTCTCATTCTGTAACTGCCGCCCTCACGCCCAGTCCCAGGGAGTCCCAAAGAGGGGCTGCTCCTTGTGAATCTAGACCCTGGAGGACCCAGGATGGCTCAGAGCTCCCCAGCAGAGCTCTCCATCGACCTGTAAACTAGGGCAGATGCACCCATCTGAGACCCTTTTAAAAACAACAAGCCTTCAGGTAAACAGATTTGTCCTTTTTGACACATCATTTATGAGTCAACCCAATGCGCGTACGGTCCCAGCTGATGAGAGAACAGAGCTGCCCCGTGTGGGGAGCTGGGTGTGGGTGCATCAGAGTGGAACCCCGCAAAGAGTTTTTATTGGTTGAACCACTAAACCACTTACCTAAGGTCAAAAAATTAATCTCAGCATTTGGGTACTGAACCCAAATATGAAATGCAAAACTCTTATGCAAATTAGCAGGTGTTATTTTCGAGTCAAGGACTTCAGTTATTTTCCTATCAAAGTGGCAACCCTGCCAGAGGCTGTGAGTGCACCTGGTGGGCAAGGCAGCGGGAGGACCTGGATCAGATGGGCCCACTGCAGGCTGGTCAGCAGTTTTCTCCTACGGCAGTGGTTTGTGACTGATGATTCCCTCGGGAGCTGTGAGGGCTTTTTCTTGGAGCCCTGGAGTGTATACGTGTCTCAACTTAAAAGTCAGATGTGTCTATGGCTCAGGAAACTTTCAAAGCTGTCACTACAGTCTTTCCAGTGGGATGTCCATGTTGAGATAAATGTCTGCTTCCTCACGCAGGCAGCACCCTGAAAAACCCAGCCCATCTGACTGGGTCACCCAGTTGGCCAGAGCATTGTCCCAATATGCCAAGGTCACAGGTTCAAGGCCCGGTTGGGCACATATAAGAAGCAACCAATGAATGCATAAATAGGTGGAATAGCAGATAGATGTTTCTCTCTCTCTCTCAAGAAAAAAAATATTTGGGCCCACTAATCCTCATGAAGATTAGTTATCTCACCACTGAGTTTCTTCTAAAGCCTTTCTCTTCCTAAGACCCCATGCTTATCTCACTCTTCCTCTCCCACAGATGATAATTCTGATTCACAGTTTAATGAAGACTTGGACCATGAGATAGAAACACCTACAACTTCCCTCTCCTGCATTTCAAATCTTCTGCCTATTTTTTATACTACTTCTTATTCTTTGTGAATCAGAGAAAGATAGTGCCTTCTTTATCCCAATGGAAAACAGTATAATGAGAAGAACTGAGATACAGGAGTCAGCAGATCTGGGCTCAATCTGAGGGTGTTGACTTGGGCAAACGGCTTTACCATTCTGAGCCTCGGTTTCCCCATTTATGGAAAGGGGACAATCCTTCTCTACTCTGTAGTAGTGTTGAGAAGTTCAATGGAGCATTCAGCTAAACCCCAGCACAGTGCCAGCACGCAATAGGTGCACGTGGTAAAAAAAAAAAAAATGTGTCTCTTCTCTGGAAACTTATTTCATTACTTGCATTTTGCTTCCTTCCTGCCTAAAAATGAAAGTCTCACATTCTCAAAACAAAACAAAATGAAAACCAAACCCAAATAGGCCTCAAGTTCCCTCAGTTACGTTTCTTTCTGTATCTACAATCAATCCATGTCTCTGTCTTCCTAATCGAACTCTATTAAGAGCAGTCGATGCTTGCTGCCTCTGCGTTCACCTCCCACCTCCCTCAGCCAGAGCAATCCAGAATAGAAATGATTATCAAAGGAGTTTCAAACCATCATTGCTCTTCCATCCTGTACGCCCCGTACAACTCTCTACGCTGTTCGATGCCACAGAGCAATTCCTCCTTCCTGAAGAGCAGATGCTTCTCAGCTTTCTCTTCCTTCCTCCAGCCCTTCAAAGGAGGTGGTCCCTTAGCTTCTGCCCTGCATCCTATTTCCTTGCTCCAAATTCTGTCCCGTGGTGATCTTATCAGCTCCTGAGTTTCCATGACTAATTTTTTTCACCCAGCCCTACTTCATGACCACTTTTTTATGGACGACCTCTAGATTGATTATCTCTAACCCCAACTGCTCTTATCACAAGTCCAGCTGCCCACAGGCCATCCCCAACAAGGCAACACCAAACTTGAAAGGTCCATACTGAACTTGAATGTTCTCCTGCACTGTATGAGTTTCCTAGGGCTGTTATAACAAGATTACCATGAACCTGGCGGCTTAAAACAACACAGATTTATCCTCTCACAGTTCTGGAAGCTGTGAGTCTGAAATCAAGGTGTTGGCAATGCTGTGCTCCCCTGAAGGTGCTAGAGCCACCTCGTGCAGCTTTTAGTGGTCCCCATGTTCCTTGGTTTATGGCTGCACAACTCTAATTGCTCCTTCTGTCTCCACACCACCACCTTCTCTCTCTGTTTTGGTGCCTTCTTTTCTTATAGATGGGCAAAAATCCAGTAACTGGTGACTATAAGAAAAGAAGGCACAGAAACAGTCACCAGTTATTGGATTTTTGCCCATCCTAAGTCTATTGTGATTTCGTCTCGCACCTCGTGGTCCTTAACTAATTACATCTGCAAAGATCCTACTGCCACATAAGGTCACATTTGGAGGTTCTGTGGGCATGAATTTTGAGGGCATAACAGTCCCACTACACTCAGCCATCACGTCCAAAAAACCTCTAAGTCCTCCTGGCTCAGCTTCCCTCTTTACAGGGGAGACAAGGAATCTCCCAGAGCTGACCCTACTGCTCTCTGAGGCTCTGCTCTGTATTTATCCCACGGGCCAGACACAGAAGACCACTTCCCACTCCCTGGGACACTTGGGGCTACATATTTGTTTTTTTGTTTGTTTGGTTTTTGTCCATAGTTCTCTCAGCCTGAAACTTCCTTCCTAAATCTTACTGCAGACCACCTCAAATACCACTTCAGAATGATTGTCCCCCATGTGCAGGCAATGTTGTTTGTACCTTTGTCACAGCGTTCTTTTTCCATTATCACAATTGTCTACGTGTCTGGATGAACAAACAGATGATAAGCTCTGATGCTACTGCAGAATGGAATGGAGTAAGTCATGGTCACCCCAGTCATTCAGACACCAATGCATCTCCTTTAGTTTAAGATTGCCTGAATCTGCTACCTGTGACTTAAGAGCTTTGCTCTAGCTAGGAATCTAGCCCCTACCTCATCATTCTCAGATATCCAGGGGGAGAAAGGAACACCCCACCTTACAACCCTGAACTTCATCAAAATATGCATTATTCCCTAAAGATTTGGACACATTTCTATGGGTAGGGGGGATGCTGCTGTGCTGAGGGAACTGTCAGGAGTGTGGGAAAGGAAAAAAG